TATTTATACCCTGCATAAGTCATCACTTCATGCTGCATATGCACATTCTAGGTATTAGTGAGTATTTTGAAACACTGCAATGTCTCGGGTATGAAAGAAGAGCTATCAATTCTGCAGGACCAGTGTCGGGACCCTGCAGTGTCTGTCCGGAAACAAGCCTTACAATCTCTTACTGAACTTCTTATGGTAAGGGGCAAGATGTTCTGTGTCTACTGCCTGGTATTTTACATTAAAAATAATTCAGGATAATAATTGCCTGTTGCTGAATATTAAGTTGACCATTAGAAACTCTACCGAGTCTACTGTAGGATTATATAGTACAAGAGAAAGGAAGAAGTACCCTTTCATTACATATGATAGATTAATTATGAACTAATGCTAAAGGATGCAATTGTTAGCTTTTCTTGACTATAGTTCAAATCTCACATAGAAATTTGAGTTTTTAAATTAATTTGGTGAGGTCAGAAGCCTAGATTAATTTTTATTAATTAAGACCTATATAGATGATATTGCCAAAAGAGCAGAACCACTAATCCTATATATAATTTTACTTCTGCCAAATAATTAGCTTTCGAAGAATTTATTTAAAGTGTGTTTATTTCTGTTTTTTCATGATAGAAGGCATTAAGTAATGCGTATTTTGACTTTCTCTGGCAGCATTTATTCTAATTACTCTTCGGGATAAATGTTTATTTACTCTTGATCTTGAATTACCAAAAAGTGCTGATTTACTACTAATACTAAAATAATGATTATAAGTTTAAAATTTCAATATGCATTAATTTGCAATAACTAGAGATTGAACTTTGTCTTCACATATATTTTGATTTTTTTTTTATGGTCCACCTGTAATTGTGTGTGCAACTATTTTTAACATGTCTGAAAATGTTGATCACAACGTCACTAATTTGTATTTAGACTTCTGATAGCATTGGACTTCTTTATGACTTCATAATTTTAACTCCTAAGGCCCAACCTAGATGTGTCCAGATCCAGAAAGCCTGGCTGATGGGGATCATCCCAGTTGTGATGGACGGTGAGAGCACTGTGCAGGAAAAGGCCCTGGAATGCCTTGACCAGCTCTTGTTGCAGAACATTAAGCATTACAATAAATTTCATAGTGGAGATGACA